CAGCCGTCATCTCTACCAAATTTCGTACGGAAAATTTCTGCCGAAGTTTCCGGTGAAAAGCCGGCGGGAGGTTGGACCGGGTGAAGGTGAACTCCCCGAGCACGCAGGACAAGTCAAATCGAGCGAGCGAGCGAGCTTATGCACTGTGTGCAACCAGTAGGAGGCATCGGGGTTGTCGTACGGAAGAATCAACGAGCATCACGGGGACGTTTCTAGGCAAGCCAAACCCAGCCGTTTCTACAAGGAACATGCGAGCTTACTAGATCGACGGCGACGAGAGAGATGTTCCGAGGGACTCACCAGCGTCCATGAGGTGTGGCCCGCGTCGAGCGGCGGCCTGGCGTTGGGGACGCGGGTGGAGGCGGCCAGGCCAGTGAGGAGGAAGGCGACGAGCTCGCGCCGTCGCCGGGGCGGAGCCGCCGCCGCGGGTGCTTCCCCCTTCCCCTGCCATGTGTGGTGCCCCTCCGGCGACGCCGAGCGGCATTGGGCAGCGTGCTTCTCCCTGCTGCCGCTCGCTGCTACCGCGGGTGCTCTCCGCGGCGGCGCTCCCCTTCTGCGGGGATCCGATTCGCCTTTCTCTCCGACGGGTCGCAGAGCTTGGAGGTCGCTGCGGTCACTGCCGCCGAGAGGGGGTGAGGGGGCGTGGGTCGAGGAAAAGGTCGCCAACGTGCCGGCCCACGGCACCGCACTGCACGGCCCGTGCTAGCTTAAACCCTAAACGGGCCAGTCACGACTCGGCCCACTTCATACACGGGCCGTGCCGTGCCGGCCCGCGCGCTGCACTCCCCAGCCCAGGCATGCTCCCTTAGTAAACGGGCCGGCCCGGCAGCATGTTAAGGGTCAGTTCTTTTGCTGGCATGTCTAAAAAAATAATTCTTTTGCTGATTTCTGAAATAAGCTGTCCTCTGCCCAGCTTATTCTAAATAAATTTTATTGGGTTTCTAGAATAAGTTGTTCCAAAAAGACACCAAAAGAGCTGGCCCGCGTAGGATTCAGGGTATTGCGTTGTTTTCGGCCTAAATTCAGTCTGTTGGACTGTATGAATACAAAATATTAAAAAACTAGACGGGTTGTGCCATGTCGGCACGCGTACCCAGCCTCATGGCCAGGCATGGCCCTCCTAGGGCCACATGACGGTACGACTCAATTATTAATTTTGTCGGGCCAGGGCCACCATGGGCCGAGCATGCGGGCAATCGAGCCAGCATGGCTGGATCATCCCATTTAGCCACCTTTGGGTCGAGGGTCGAGGACTCTTCCCTAATGCACAGATGAAAATGATTGGCATCGGTTGGGAAATAGTTATGTAGCATGGGTTCGAGTGCTACTATTGCATCATTTACATACTTACTTGAATGAATACTTGCAGTATATGAATAGTATAGTTATCCATGGTTCCTCTTGCCCTGACTACTGGGGGAATGCAGCTGAAAACATCAGCGCAAAGTCTTCAACAGACGCCCCATGGATCCATCTATCGACCCAAAAGAAACATCTTTACGCATTCCCTAACACAACTCAGGCCGCATAAAACATGTATTTTATGTTTATGCGAGAGATTTAGTAGAACCCTTCAAACCCTAACTTGGATAGGGAAAATCTTGGGCAACTATCCAAGTGTCACTTTCTTGCATGCGAGCGTGTCAAAGTGATGCGTCCAATCGCGGCCATGTGTTGTGTGGTGGGTGCAGGGCACTTCCTTTGATTTTTTTTGTACACATTTTAAGGCTTTAGACGCGTTTTTTTTCTGGCTTTTCCTACATTTTGGAGAAAAAATTACGTAGCACAACTGTGCTTCTTGAAAAAAAATCAGATTCCACCAGAAGCATAGATTTTCTTCCGTGAGAAGAAGCAAAACGGAAAAAAATGTTGCTTCAAAAAATGTATGCTTCTCGAAAAGAGGAAAAGGGGAAACCGAAACCATCCTTCCGGGCTACAGTTTCTCTTCCATTTTCGTTTGCCAGTTCTTTTATGTTTCTGTTTTTTATCGGTTTTTTTCCTTTTTTGTTTGTATCTTTTCTGAAAAAAAATCGTCAAAACTTATTAATATGAGATCTAGTTTTGAAGATTTTGGCCCGAGAAATCCAATGTTGAAAATGTTTTAAGATTTGGACATATGGTTCAAGAGATAAAATGTTTAAAATAAATGAATCCAAGCTTGGCGGCTATTGATCAACCTGGATAGTCTGTGCGCCTGTATTTTGAAGGCGAGGTACTACCCAAATGGTAGCTTGGAGGACACGGTCTTCTCAGGTGGTGCCTTAGCGACGTGGCAAGGGGTGGTACATGGTCTCGATCTCTTGAAAACATGACTTGTTTGGCGTGTGGGGAATGGGAACTCCATCAGAATTTGGCGCGATCGGTGGCTCCCAAGGAATGGCAGCGGCAGACCAGTGACACCGCAGGGTCACTGTCGTCTCTGTTGGGTGAGTGACCTGCTGGACAACCATGGGGCTTGGCGTATGGATGTGGTTCGGGAGACATTTTTCCGGTGGACGCGGAGGAGATAGCCAAGATCAGAACATCACCGAGGATGGGAGACGACATCCTTGCATGGGGCCCAGAACACAATGGATGCTTTTCGGTGCGGAGCGCTTATCGACTTGCTTTGGAGGATCATCTTCGATCTTCGTCGGTCGCGGAGAGCAGGGCACCGGACGGGCGACGAGCCGGCTGGGCTTTTATTTGGAGGTGCCCTGCTCCTCCCAAGATTTGAACCTTTACTTGGCGGTTAATCACTAATTGTTTGCCTACTTGGGTAAATAAAAAACGTCGAGGACTGGAGGTATCTGATCAATGCCCTCTCTGCGCTATGGAGCCGGAGGACACGTTTCATGCCTTTTGCAGGTGCCCGAGGGCGGTGGCGTTATGGGAAGCTATGGCTGAGATGTGGAGGATTCCAGCTGCATCGTCATTCCAGAGGACGGGCTCGGAGTGGCTCGCCCAAACTCTCTGTGACCTTCCTGACACGGAGAGGATGGAACTCATGATGATTCTATGGCATTGCTGGCACGTACGAAATGAGATGACACACCACAAGAAGCCGCCCCCGGTAGAAGCATCCAAAAGGTTCCTCCTCAGCTATGTCGACTCGCTTGTGGGCATACAAAATAACCCAAATGCAGATCTAGTGAAGGGCAAGCAAGTGGTCGATGCAGTGGTGCAGACCAAACCCACATCACATGCTCCTGTTGCAGCTGGGCCGCAACCTCAATGGACACTTCCACCTGCAGGCTGGACAAAACTCAACGTCGACGACTCGTTCTGTGCATCTACCAGTACAACTTGAGCGGGTATGATTCTGCGTGATAGTGTCGGCGAGGTCATATTCTCCTCATGCAGAGAACTGAGGTCATGTGCGGAACCCCTAGAGGTCGAACTGCTTGCGTGTATGGAGGGCCTGAACCTTGCCCTACAATGGACGCAGCAACCTATCGTAGTGGAAACAGACTGTCTTGTTGCTTTCAACATGATCATAGGAGAAGAGAGAGATCGGTCCTGTTACTCCATGCTTGTGGACCAGATTAAGAGGCTCATGGAAGAAGAGAGATTAGTTAAGCTAGTGCATGTACGTAGAGAGCAGAATGGCATAAGCCATTACCTTGCTTCCTTTGGTAGAACTGAATGCCGCACCGTCGTGTGGCTGGGTTCAGGTCCAGGTGATATCCCTGACCTTTGTAAGAATGAACTGGCTCCTGAGTGATCAATATAATCCTTTTCACCCGAAAAAAAGAATAAAAAAAACACCCAGCTTGCAGAGCTTGAGAAGAGGTGGTGACTTTTGCAAGGATACCCCTTAACTAGTGATATCGGCCAATTTTAAGCTAAAGCCAAAGCTGCCCAAACCAGGTGAACTGACTTTTGTACAACCACACGACACCATGCCCCCTTAAAACAGTCCCTTGAAACAGCGTGCATGCATACGGCGTGCATTTTCCCTCTAGAAGCCTATTTTACGCGTACATATTTTTTCATCTCCGAACAAACATTAAGCCGTTTTTTTGTGAAACATTAGAGGAAAAACCGTCGTTCTTCGCCTACATTCGTGTGTCTTTGATTTGGATTCTTTCGATTTATGTTATTCTTCATCGATGGTGGTTGTTGTTCTGGGGTGCTGGTCCTATGGGGTTTTAGCACAATGACTTCCTGACTGTCTACTCCAGCAAGTTGTGTCCGAATCCGGCGATGGAGGAACGATGACGGCGGCACGCCTTCATCTCGCTTCAGTGCTTGTAGTCGTTGCTAGGTGGTCTACGGATCTGGATGTAACTTTTATTTCTATTGTTCGTTGTACTGTTATAATTGAAGATGAATAGATAGAAAGTTAAAAAAAACTAAAGCAAAAATGACTTTTAGAAAGGAGCAGCAAACTAATATAGTTTCGTCATTCTAGTGGTGAGCTATCCCAAAAGAAAAACTAATATAATACGCACCGAAACATATGTTTAACGTCCAGATACCAGACGAAATTAAACAACACTACGACTCGTCTGTGTGCAAAATCGAAGTACCATCCGATCCAGTGATCCACAGATAAAAATTACATTCATCTGCTTAGAAACAGGTTGCCCTCCATCTCGTTCGCACAATTGCTATTATTAGCCGTTCTAACTTACCTCCGGCCTCTGCATCTACAATGCACACAGCCATTGAAGTATGTTGTACTCCTTTCGTTCATTTTTATAAGTCGTTTCAGACAATCTAAAATAGGTTGTTTAGTATATTGTTTGAAATGTCTTCGAGGTCTTATAAAAATAAAGAGAAAGCGTAGGTAAGATGGCCAGAGTTAAAAATGCTTTGATCTCAGTCAATTCACACCATCTTCGTGTCGCGCGCATGACCCGTGCATCGAACTAACCGTGGAACAAACTCACAGATGGTTGCACCCTGACCCGCCTCGACCATAAATCGATGGATCAGCGAGCATCTCTAAGCTCACTAAGACTCGCTAATCCTGCGTACTACGTGCTTAAATCCTTCCGGTCGAAACCCAAGCTACAATGGCGTCGTCCAACAAGGCCTGCGCCGCCGCCCTCCTCCTGCTACTGGCCCTCGTCGCGGCCACGGCGGCCGACGCGGCAAAGAGCATCGCGTCGGAGCCCACCGTCACCCCGTGGACGGCGGAGGTGGACGAGTCGGCGACGTGCATGGGGTCGCTGCTGGCGCTGAGCCCGTGCCTGCCCTTCTTCAGGGACGCGGGCACGTCCAAGGCGCCGGCGGGGTGCTGCGAGGGTCTGGGCGACATCGTCCAAGACCAGCCGGCGTGCCTGTGCCACATCTTCAACCACACCCTGGAGCGGGCCATCGGCGTCGACATCCCCGTCGACCGCGCGCTCGGCCTCCTCAGCAACGTCTGCGGCCGCACCCCGCCGGAGGACCTCATGACCAGTTGCGGCGACGGCGTCCCCGTGCCGCCGCTTGTAAGACAATATGCTTTGGGGGGAACCGGCACAACCCTCTAGGGGTGGCCTATCACATATATATATAATGAGGTGGTATACAACGTTACAATATACACATGTAAATACAGTCTAACACCCTCCCTCAATCTTAGCCACTTTCTAATGAATCTAGAAGGGTAAGATTGCGCCTGCAAGTCTCAAACTGTGGCAAAGGCAATGGCTTGGTGAAGATGTCAGCAAGTTGATCCTTGGAAGAAATAAACTTGATCTGTAGTTGCTTCTGAGAGACACGTTCACGCACAAAGTGATAGTCAACTTCAATATGTTTCGTTCGGGCATGGAATACCGGATTTGCAGAAAGGTATGTAGCACCGATGTTATCAAACCAAAAAACAGGAGGCTGTGATTGGGGTATACTTAACTCCTGAAGCAAGGACTGTACCCAGATAATCTCTGATGTGGCATTGGCCACAGCCTTATACTCAGCCTCAGTACTGCTACGCGAGACAGTAGCCTGTTTCCGAGCACTCCAGGCAATCAGGTTAGAGCCAAAGAAGACAGCATAACCCCCCGTGGATCGCCTGTCATCCGGATTGCCAGCCCAGTCTGCATCAGAATATGCTGAAAGACAACCAGAGTCAGACGGCCGAATATGCAAACCATGAGCCACCGTGAAACGAATATAGCGCAAAATCCGCTTAACAGCAGACCAATGAGTGTCACGGGGTGACTGCAGATACTGGCAGACTCGGTTAACAGCATAGGAAATGTCTGGTCGCGTGATCGTCGAGTACTGGAGCCCACCAACAATACTCCGGTACTCGGTCGCATCAGAAGAAGAAAGAAGCACACCATCAACAGCATTGAGCTTATTAGTGGTAGACATGGGTGTAGTCGTCGGTTTGCACTTAAGCATCCCAGCTCGCTGCAACAAATCCAGAGAGTACTTCTTCTGCGTCATAACAAGGCCAGCAGCACGAGAAGTAACCTCCACACCAAGAAAGTAATGAAGCTTCCCAAGGTCCTTGACCGCAAAATCAGCACCAAGTGAGCGAACAAGCGCAGTAGCAGCCGACTGAGAGGAGCTGACCAAAATGATATCATCTACATAGACCAACAAGTACATAGTAACCTCAGGCCTTTGAAGAAGAAACAATGAGGAGTCAGCAGTTGATGATGCAAAACCATGAGCACGAAGAGCCATTGCAAGACGAGCATGCCAAGCACGAGGAGCCTGCTTCAGACCATAAATAGCCTTGGACAGACGACAAAGATGATCAGGGCGATCCGGATCAGAGAAACCCGGAGGCTGGCGCATGTAAACCTCCTCCGCCAAGACACCATGAAGAAAAGCATTTTGAACATCAAGCTGACGAAGAAACCAACCTCGAGTAACAGCCAGAGAGAGAAGAAGTCTGATGGTAGTAGGCTTGACCACTGGACTGAAGGTGTCTTCATAGTCAAGTCCAAAACGCTGTCGAAAACCACGAGCAACCAGATGAGCCTTATAGCGCTCAATGGACCCATCAGAATGCCTCTTCACCTTGAAAACCCATTTGGAATCAATGACATTTACCCGTGATTGTGGAGGAACAAGAGTCCATGTCTGATTGCGAAGAAGCGCTTGATACTCCTGCTCCATGGCCTCTCTCTAATGAGGAATGCGCATAGCAGCTTGATACGTGCGTGGCTCAGAGGATGGATCTGCGAGAGCAGCAGACATGCACGCCGCTAACCAAGCAACTGTGCCATCGTGACGTTGCTTAGGCTGAAAAATGCCACTCTGACTGCGCGTATGTGGACGTAGAGCAGCAGCAGGAGCCGACGGAGGCGAAGGTGACGGAGACGTGACGGTCGCCGGAGATGCAGGAATCACCTCAGGCGAGCTCGGGACAGACGACTCCGGGCTGCATGGCGAAGACTGGCCCGACGACAGGGGCTCAGAGGCCATGGGCGAACCGAGGGTGGGCGAGACCAGCTCCGGTGACACCGGCCCAGACGGCCTTGGCGAGGCGAGAGCAGGCGAGGCCGGCCCTGGTGAGAAGGGCCCAGACACCCTGGGCGAGGCAGGGGCGGGCGAGGCCAGGCCTGGTGATGACTGCCCCGACGCCCTGGGCGAGACGGGGACCGAGGAGGCCGGCCCATTCGGCGGGGTTGCAGGGCGCGACGATGGCGAAGGCAGCCCAGAAGCCAGAGGCGACCGGGCCAGGACGTCGATCGGCCGTGCATGAGCACGGAAACCGAGGCCATGCAGGGGCGCCATGTGCTCCTCATGCACAACAGAAGGTGCCGAGGATGAAGGCGATGGCGACGAAGAGGAAGATGGCGCTTCCAGAATCTCCAAACGAGCCCCACGACCAGTGCCTGCACCATGGTTAGGCAACAATAGAGGAGAATATGCAACATCATCAAATTGGTCAGAAGCAACAGAGGATGAATGCATGACAGGTGGCTCGGTAGTGGACACAGGAAGGTTGGCAAAGGGAAAAACATGCTCATCAAACACAACATCCCGAGAGATGTAGACACGATTAGTGGGAACATGAAGACATTTGTATCCTTTATGAAGAGAGCTATAACCAAGAAAAACACACTTCTTGGAACGAAACTCGAGCTTACGCTTGTTATATGGACGGAGATGGGGCCAGCAAGCACACCCAAACACCTTGAGAAAGGTGTAGTCCGGTTGTTCATTAAGGAGAACTTCAATGGGAGTCTTCATATTCAAAACACGAGTGGGAGTACGATTGATGAGAAAACATGCAGTGGTGAAAGCATCACTCCAAAAACGAAACGGAACAGATGCATGGGCCAAAAGAGTCAGACCAGCTTCAACAATGTGACGATGCTTACGTTCTACTGAACCATTCTGCTGATGTGTATGTGGACATGCTAAACGGTGAGTGATCCCAAGCGACTGAAAGAAGGAGTTGAGGTTGCGATACTCGCCACCCCAGTCCGACTGAACATGAACAATTTTGTGCTTGAGAAGGCGTTCAACATGTTTTTGGAACTGAACAAAGATGTCAAACACATCAGATTTACGTTTGATAAGATAAAGCCAGGTAAAGCGGCTGTAAGCATCAACAAAACTGATATAATAATTATGACTACTAACAGAAGTCTGAGCAGGATCCCATACATCTGAAAACACAAGTTCTAAAGGATGTTTCACCTCACGACTGGACTCCGAAAAAGGAAGTTGATGACTCTTCCCCTGCTGACAAGCATCACACACTGCTACATCTTTATTACTAGACACACTAGGAAGCTCATGACGACGCAAAACATGCCGGACAATAGGTGTGGCCGGGTGACCAAGACGAGCATGCCACTGTGACGGAGATACCCGAACTCCACTGAAGACGCGAGCGACGCCAGGATGCTCCAGACGATAGAGACCTTGGCAGAGCCGCCCACTAAGAAGAATGTCCCTCGTGCACCGATCCTTAATAAAAAGATCAAAAGGATGAAATTCACAAAGCACATTATTATCACGAGTGAGTTTAGGAATTGAAAGAAGATTACGTGTCACAGATGGAACTCGAAGAACATTGCGAAGTTGAAGACTCATATTGGCATGTCTAGTGAGAAGTGATGCTTGACCAATATGAGAGATGTGCATACCTGCTCCATTGGCGGTGTGGATCTTGTCAGAGCCATGGTAGGGTTCACGAGTGTGAAGCTTCCCCATCTCACTGGTCAGGTGCTCTGTCGCCCCAAAGTCCATGTACCAGTGGGGATCAATGGAGTAGGACTGAGTGTGTCCCTGTGGCTTCTGCGGCAGCGGACGATCAGCCATGGCGACCTGACGAGCAAAGTTGCGTGTATCCTTCCCGTCATTGCCAAGACCAAGAAAACCCCGCTGAAAGCGCTTGTGAAACTTCGAGGCCCAGTGCCCATCGCGACCACAAAGCTGGCACACACGTGGACCGCCAGCCCCTGGTAGCGTCGCAGTAGGAGGAGGGGCCGAGGCGGGTGGTGATGACTGCCCCGAAGGAGCCCTGGATGAAGCAGAGGAGCGACCACCCTTGGTGGCGGCGTTTGCCGAGAGGGCGCCGTTGCCCCTGGATCGGCGCGTCTCGACTCGTTGCTCAGTAAGCAGGAGGCGTGAAAAGACCTCGTGTGCTGGCATGGGCGTGGAGTTGCCCCTCTCATTGATGATCTCGACTAGGGCGTCATACTCCTCATCAAGACCATTGACGATGAACGAGTTGAACTCGGAGTCGGTGAGGGGCTGTCCAATGGAGGCCAGCGTGTCGGCGAGACTCTTGACTTTGTTGTAGAACTCAGTGGCGGTGGAGTCAAGCTTCTGACACTCCCCAAGTTGGCGACGGAGCCCAGATACACGAGCCTGCGACTGTGCCGCAAACGAGCGCTCAAGAATAGTCCATGCCTCGTGGGACGTCTTGGCGAAGACAACAAGCCCAGCAACGGCCGGAGAGAGCGACCCCTGGATGGAGGAGAGGTTCGCCTGATTCTGCCCTGTCCAGACACGGTGAGCCGGATTATAAACCGGACCATGCACGTTGTCAACCAGCGCAGGAGGGCAAGGGAGAGAGCCGTCGACATAGCCAAGCAGGTAGTGACTCCCAAGAAGCGGAAGAACCTGCGCGCGCCAGAAGATGTAATTGTCCGATGACAACTTGATGGTGATGAGATGACCGAAGTGAAACGGCGGCGGCGACTGCGATCCCATCGAGGAGACTGGCTGAGGTGAGAACACCGTGGAGACAGTCGGAGGGGCAGCCGGCGCGGTGACAGAGGGCGCGATGGCCGCGGTTGACGCCGCGAAGCCTGCCAGCGCGACGTCCTCCGCCACCAGCGGCGTAGTGGCCGAGGGCGCGACAGCCGCGGTTGACGGGGCGGCGGTGGTGTGGGCCACAAGCGCCTGCCCGGGCGAAGTAGCAGCCGGCGGGAGCGCGAAGAGGGAGCCGACGCTCCGTGTCCCGATCGGCGCCTGAAGGGAGGCGGCATCCAGCGGCCTCGAGAGAAGTGCCGCGAGGGAGGCCGGCAGAAAACCGGTGGCGGTGGAGCCGGACGCAGCGGCGGACGTCATAGCAGTCGGGCGACGGCGGCGGCGGCGGCGGTTTAGGGTTTTTAGGCGGAAGCGGACGTAACCTAGCGTGATATCATGTAAGACAATAGGCTTTGGGGGGAACCGACACAACCCTCTAGGGATGGCCTATCACATATATATATAATGAGGTGGTATACAACGTTACAATATACACATGTAAATACAGTCTAACACCGTTGTACATGTGCCCGGCGCCCTCGGCCTGAAATCTATCTATCCAGGTGACCAAACCGGCCGTATGATCACTAGGAGCTTCGGTTACGCGTGCTTTTACTCTTATTACGTGTAGCGGGTTCTAGTTAATTCACTGGTTTTTTTTCTCTTCATAATATCGTGCAGGTGCACGAGGAGACGCGTGAGTAAAATAATGATCGAGACCACAGGAGAAGGTACCTAGCGGCCGAGATCATCGATCAGCTGCAGCCCCTCTTGGAAGTGGAAGTCGAGGAAGCATGCATACGAATGCAACTTATAGATACTCCATGTTACCAGTTAGATTTTCGGATTAACAACACATGGAACGGATACAAATAGGAATGCCATTATGCCACACTGTGGCTACAGATGTACGTACCGTGTCTCTCTCCGCGCATATAATGATAAATAAATAGAAAAAGATGGGTTTGTCTAGACTATGTGACTCAATCAAACATAAAACAAAAAAATACCCTCACGGATCCGGGCGCAATTTACGTCATCGTTGACGCTTCCTACATGGCTTCTACCTACGACATGGTCTAGTCCTGCAACCCACTTGCCAATCCTTTAGCGCTTAAGGTGGGGGTACCTTGATTCAATCAGGTCTTCAGTCGTGGCCGTATAACGGTGGTGGCCTTTTCCCATCCTCTCTTGTGGCTGTTGTTTTCTCTCCTATCTATCAATGAAAAGATTAGCAATCTTTGCGTATTCATGAAAAAAATTGCCTCATAGATTACTCTGATTCCTAAAAAGGACAGTCCCCTCACTGTCAATGACTTCAGCACTATTTCTCGATTGAATTGCTCCATCAAGATAATCAGAAAGCTTTAGCTAACAGACTGCAGCAAGTCATCTCAAGCTAGTTCATTTGAATCAATATGATTTTATTAAAAGCGGGACTACTAAGGGTTGCTTGGCCTAGACCTTTGAATATTTGTATCAAAGTCATCACTCTAAAACTCAAGCCATGGTGCTTAAGCTTGACATTGAAAAGACTTTTGGTCACACATGGATCCTCTGGGTGAGAACGATTTTCTTTTACACTTCTAATGTTTTCTTGAATGGAGTCCCAGGGGAACTTTTTCTTTTGCAAGATAGGTGTAAGGCAGTGGGACCCTCTATCCTCTCTCCTTTTTGCCCTTGATATTGACTTACTACAATGTGTGCTCAATGAAGCCATCGAACACAAAATCATTCAAGATCCCATGTTGACCAACTCATGTCCTGAATTTCCAACCATCCAATATGTTGATGACACCATTTTGACCATGCCTGCTGAATAAGTGTAACCAATGCAAGTAAAAAAAATCTTCCTATCCACTTTGTTGCTCACAATGGTCTGAAAGTCAACTACGGTAAATTTGTTTTGGTTCCTAATCATGTCTGTCGTGGAAAGGTCACGACAGATGTCATAGCAAAAGGACTTAGTCGTGGAGCCATCGCAACTAGGAAGCTTAAAGGGGTTAAAACGGGACAAAGGACACAGGAGTTTATACTGGTTCAGTCCCTTGCGGTGAAGGTAAAGGCCTAATCCAGTTTGAGGTGGTATTGCTTATGTATCCCCAACAATGTCCCTGATGAAATATATGATGATTTCTTCTCTAGGTTGTCAACAAGGAATTTTTTTTTTCTTTCACTTACCTAGGTCTCCCTATGGGCACTTCAAAACTTTGCTTCCCGCAACATTGGCCAAGGTGACACCATTTTACTCTTCAATGTTAAATGGCTTGAGCTTCCTCTTGCTCAGAAATTTCCCAAGCTTCATTCTTCTGCTATAAATGAAACATAATCAGTTGATGATTTTTTTTTGTTGATGGAGACTGGGCTGGTAATTTTCACCTGCCCTTTTCTAATCAAGCCTTTGAGCAATATATTGAGCTGCAATCCCCGTGGACCATGACCAAAATGGCCCTGACAAAGATATCTGGAAATGACCTTCAAACAATTGTGCTTATTCTCCCATTAGCATGTACAAACACCTTATGTGCAACTATCAAACCCCCGGACTCTGCAGGAATTCATTGAAGAGCAAAAGAAAACTCAAGCACAGAATATTTTTCTGGCTCGTTCTACATGATAGATTAAATGGTAGAGCTTTGTACAAAAAAAAAGAGGAAAGGGCTATTTATAAATGACCGTTCCAGCAACTTATGCACTCAAGCGCTCGAAGAGACCACAAATCACTTGCCTTGGGACTAATTTGTTATTTCTTAGCCACTCCAGCGCATGATGGGTCGGTCAGTATATGTTTTTTTAGCCTTTTTTTAGTTTTGATTTTTATTTACTTCTATTTCAGTTAGTTAACTTGGCTTTCTTTTTATTTTTATTTTTCTCCTTGTTCCTTTCATAGTTTTTTTGTTTTCTTCCTTTTCATTTGGGCTTGGTAGGTTTTTCTTCCTTTTAATTGTTCTCCCCAGTTTCATTTTATTTTTCTCCTAGATTTTCTTAAAAAAATATGAGAGAGAAGGCACCTTCCTTGAGTGATAAGAAATTTTCCTCAAAATACACTATGAGCATCTCCTCACGAACATGATGAACATTTTTAATACACATAGTGAACCTTTTCCTGACATATGGTGATTTTTTTAATATGTGATCAGCATTCTTCGAATAGATGAACATATTTTTTAGAATCACGTATTTAATATTATTCATGTGATTTTATTTATTATCACATTTTACAGAAAAAATAATAGTTTTTTTTCAACAAATGTAGCTGTATTATTAAGAAAATATTTATGTGGTTATGAAAAATGAGAATTAGAAAACAATGAAGTAAAATAAATGTTCAAAAGTTAGTGAAATATATTTATGTATTTATGGAGAAACAATCATCTTTGATATGTGTTTTTTATGGAAAATAAAGGAAAACCAACATGAAAAAACGAGGAATGCAAAAAAGGAAAGCAGAATAGCGCTCAAGGATGCCGACTGGATAGGCCGATGTATAATGCAAGAGCATGTGCGTTTCCTCTCTTATCTGAGGCAGCGAGCGTAAGGTAGGAGGTCTGGTTTCAGCGGTAGGGCCGCTCACAAATTTTTGAAAGTTATCAAAAAAAACTTGGTTCGGCATCGTTAAACTATCACAAATGTTAGAATAAATTCGAGGCACTCCGTCGATCTATCGAGGACCAAACAATTACACAAGGCATGACACCGAGATTTAACAAGGTTCACCGATATGGCTACATCTCCGGGGCCTGACTACGGGCGCTCCTCCCCGTGACGGTGTCACAATACCGCACTCCGGCCGCCGGGCGCCGGCACACGCCGCCGGCTCCCCCACGTGCCCATGCTATTATGTTGGCATAGATTATATTGTGTGTCTATCCCTACTATATATGAGAGGCTTAAGATACAAGTGTCCTATTAGGACATAACTCCTACCCTGTCTACAAACAGTACGACTCCAAGTCCAACAGTAACCTCACTTGTACTATAATATTCGACACAACTCTAACAAACTCCACCTTGGCGAATATTCTTCACCACCTTGAATTCGTCCGTGCGTCGAACCTCCATGTACATTGGACTTGAGATACGCCATGAGCATCGCTGCTACTCCCAGACTCCATGTGACTCCACCTGTAACTGTAGTCCATTCTTGTCTTCTTCACAATCAACACTCGAGCAAAATTAAGTTCCTCATTACTCTATCTTGTGCTTCCAACTTCCGGAGAATCCGTTCAACGCTATCACACACCGACCACTCTCTGCATGAAAATGAACAGCTCACATATTAGACGCCACATATAAGAGTTACTTGAACTCAACGTCACCGCTCTTTCTTGACTGCTTGTCTGAAACTTGAAGGAATTTCACCGTCGCCCTGTGTCACCCTGAGTCAAATTCGCAGTTGTCTCACCTTTCTTCCGGATAGTCTTTGGCATGTCCCACAACTGTAGCACTCCGCCTCCTTCTGTATTTGTCATCCGCACTTTGCCATGTGCACTGAACACCACAGAATATACGGCCATGTACTCTCTCAGCCTTTGACAATTTCAGACTTTCCGCCACTTTCTCAGATTCTCCATGGTCAACTCATGTCCATCAACTAGCACCGATAGACCCAATCATCAACTTGAATCTGGTACTCGTCAACACTGCTTCAGCACCCTTGCACACTTTGTCTGACCACATGTTTGACCACCAGTGCCTTGGTCTGTCGCTGTGTCCCGTGCTTACCGCACGCCTCGCCGCTATCACCGCATCGAGCCTCTGCTGTCCTGGTCGAGTCTCCCGGGCAGCTATCCCCCACTTCAGAGAACCATCGATCATCACCAACCGATGCCGAGTATCACGTCTCCATCAGACCACTGGTACCCAGTCCGATCCACATGTCTCTCGCTATCCCGCTGAAATAGGCTTCGATTCTCCGATATCTTACACTGTAGCCCCTCCATCAGCACAGAGCATAGTCATCCATCAGACTACAGCTCCACCTTCAACATGACTCCATGTAGCTGCGCTATGCTACCCTGCGCCCTGTCGACTTCAAGCTCTCATGTGTACACTGCCTTGAATCAACCCCGCGTCTTAGTCTTGTCGAAGCCGCACAAGCCCTCAAGCCTGCACCACGTGTTTCCACGCTCCAGAAGTCGGCCACCATCAGCATCACGCTCCTATGTCATCGTCGCTGAAATCACTGCCTTCTTCTGCTTTGACCGGCATCCACGTCGATCCATCAGACTGTCCAGTCCAAACCCAGTCAAAATTATCCGACTGCAACCATGTTTCACCCTGCATCGTGTCCACCATGCACATGTCTGTGCCATGCTTGACGCCCTGTGTATGCATGATCCTGCCACGACGAGCTCCGGACTCCTCCAAGCCTTATACGCACGTCGCACATCACCGGCTTCGTTTCCCCTTTATCTGCCATGTCAAACAACACCACCGTCAACCATCATGTCTTTTTCTCAATGTATCATGCAAAGAACACCAAAAGCAGTCCCCTTTTAGTCTTCTCGTACATGTAGCAGCAAGCTTATTAAGCTCACCTTCATGCATGTAGCACCCGTGACTCTTTTTGACTATCTTCTTGTACTTTACTTTTCCACGCTATAGATCAACATGATGTAATCGGAACTCCCATGTTCTGACACGCTGTAGCAGCTCCGTTCGGAAACGAATCCTGTTTTTCCTTTTAACAAATTCTCATGTAGCTTTGCCAGCCTCGTTGACTTTACAGATCATCACAACCCCGCGCACGTACCAGCACCGGTCCAATCTCGAACATGCCTCCAGCGCTGCGCTTTAGGGCATCTCCAGCCGGCCCCCCAAGAAGCCCCCAGGAGCATTTTTTCAGTGCTGGCGCATAAAAAAAGTTCCGGTCACGCCCCCATGACCTCATTTTTCGCCGGCATTGTGCAAAAATACGGCCGGCGAGACCAAGCGAAAGCCAAGATCCCGGGGGGGCAGTTGGGAGGCACCGGCGCTTTTTTCTTCGCCTCTCTGGCCCACTGTCAGCGACTTTCCCAGGCCGGCCCCACCACGTTCTCTCTCTCCCACGTTCTCTCTCTATCGCTTTATCTCTTTCTCTCATCCTCTCCCTGCTAGTGCTCCCGATCCATCGCCACCAACCACTCCGGTCCGCCCCCGCTTCCGCTCCACTCCACCGACAGCCGGCGACGCTCGTGAGCTGGTGGAGGAGGCGCCCGCCGCTGGGCTTCGCCGCCAAGGTCTCCATCGCCATCGCGCTGCCTTTCCTTCGTCGTCTGCTCCGCCCCGGTGCCAGCTGCGGCCTCGCAGCCGGCCTCCCCTGTCGCCGGTTGCTCCGCTCCTCTCATGTGTCGCGCATCCGGCTGCGCTGGCGCGGGCGTCCGCCTGGTCGCCGCTCTGGCTGGCCAGTCCGCGCGTCCGGCCTCCGACCACGCCCCGCAAGTGGTACGAGAGCTTGCTTGGCCGGCTACGCTACATGCATGCCTCGTACCCTGGTGCTTGGCCGCGTGCATGGCCACATGCGTACGTGCATGTTTCATGGCTGGCCGCTGGGCCGAGTTCGCGTGGCCGCTCCATCCGCCCTCGCCGTACACGCATGTTTCATGGCTGACCGCTGGGCCGAGCTCGCGTGGCCGCGCCTTCCGCCCTCGCCGCGCACGCCTCTCCGCCCGGGCGCGCCGCCGTGCTGGCCTGCCTCCGCTCCGCCCCGCCCGCGCGTGCGCTCAGCGAGCCCCTGCTCCGCCTCCACGCTCGAGCCCCGCTTCCCCCGGCCTCGCACGTCCCGCAGGCGAGGTCTACGACCTGCCCCGCCGTGAGCCCGCTCGTGCCCACGGCGCGGAGCGCGCGGTTGGCCGGCACACCGCGCCCCGCGCAGCCCCGGGCGAGGTTCCATGCAGGGGAGGTCGCCGTGGATGAGCGACAACTCGACGGCGCAGGCGACGGGCTCGGGGCGGCCTCGTCGCCGCCCACCAGCTCGCACGTGGCTCGTGGGGGGCACAACGAGTGGGGAGTTTTTGCCCCCCCAGGCCAAAAATTTCACCGGCAGCCCCCCAGGCGGCGAAAAATATGCCTCCTGGGGGCCCAACGGCTGGACATGCCCTTAGGCGGCCTATGTCCACCACGCCACTTCGCCCTAGTGGGCTTTGGCCTCGTTACTTGGGCCACCACCACGTTAGCGCTCGCACATGGCCCTTGCCCTCGCACGCCGCACCAGCCCTGATCGATCCATCCGCCGCCGCCACAGATTACTACGGGCTGCACCCTGTCGGATCGCATCTGCCACACGTGATCTGATCTCGCCGAGTCTCCATGCCTGCGTGCCACGCGCCGCCAGCCGCCAGCCTCGCGAGACTCCCGGCCACTGCATGATTACGCCGCTACTGTTTCCGATTGCTTCATACGTGATTGATCTCCAATCGCTGCCGCACGTCGTCGTGCCTCCACGGCCGCCGGTTTTCATCGCTCTTCTCTAAATCAACTTTCATGACCTCTTCAAACCTTGCTCATGATACCACTTGTTAAAATAAATTCGAGACAGTCCGTCGATCTACCGAGGACCAAACAATCACACAAGGCATGACATCGAAATTTGTTAACGAGGTTCACCGATATGGCTATATCCCCGTGGCCTGACTACGGGCGCTCCTCCCCGTGACACCGTCACAATACCGCACTCCGGTCGCCCGGGCGCCGGCACACGTCGCCGGCTCCCTCGCGTGCCCGTGCTATTATATTGGCATATGTTACATTGTGTGTCTATCTGCTTAGGATACAAGTGTCCTACTAGGACACAACTCCTACCTTGTCTACACACAATACGACTCCAAATTCAACCGTAATCTCACTTGTACAATAATATTCGACACAGGGCGGCCGGGGTGCGGTATTGTAGCGGTGTCATGGAGAGAAGCGTCCGTAGTCAGGCCCCGAAAATGTAGCCATATCGGTGAACCTCGTTAACAAATCTCGGTGTCGTGCTTGTATGATTGCTTGGTCCTCGATAGATCGACGGAGCGTCTCGGATTTATTTTAACAACAAATAAAAGGGGAACGAAAAGCTTGTTTGCTTGCGCTTGACGTCGCGGTCGGACCTCGGATTATTAGCCCGTCGATTGCTGGCCGGCCGGGAAAGGCACGCAAGCAAGCAGCACATCTGAACCAGATTGATGCGCGCCTCCTAGCCATATACAATGGCATTTTAAACCCATATGAGCTCCGTTTTCAAAAAAAAAAAAACTCGGCTCTACCATCTCGTCCTAATAATTTCGTCTTTTCATGGGTTTAGTTGAGTCGGAAGCATGGGACGACACCAAAATGTGGCATCTCTTTTCTGTGTGCTCACGGCGTTGATGCGAGTTTGTTAATTGAGACGCGGTACAGCGGCTGTCCCACGGTCACGGACGTACTACGTCGGATTTATCAATCTTAAGCAATTCTGTGAGTGTGGCTTATTTATATCGGAGCACCAGCAGCCACCAGGAGGAAAATGACATACAGAAACCGATGCACAAGAGTGGAGCTTCGCCAAGTGTGTAATCCGGGTTACTACGCACGTCACAGGTCCAAGGCCGAGTCGCCGGAGACACGAGATTTTCCACGTCTTTTTGTTGGAGAAAACGGATTTTTCAGATACGCCGTCCCCGTCGTACTACCGCCCGCCTCCACGCTCCCGGCCTTCTGCCGATACGACGTAGCACACGCTCCACACCACCCACTGCGTTCCTTACCCCACGAAATGGTGAGCCCACCTGTCGGCGATTACGTACGATGAAACCCGGTGTGAGTATGGTCCGAGAATCAATCCTGGTGCCAGTACAAAGTGGGAGTAGTACTCTGCCCCACGAGAGAGAGAAAAAAAAGTTGTACTCCGGCCAGCGCGACCAACCGTGGGCAATATGATCTACCCGCACCGCGCGGGCCCACACGTCAGCCCCTTCCAGCTTCCCGCCCCGGTATAAATCCCCTGCTCGTCCCCCCCCCCTCGGCTGCTCTGCCCGCCCCGACGGTTCCCAGCGCGCCGCAACAGAGCGCCAGAGCGCGGCACCGGCATGGCCATGGCCACGGCCACCAGCTCCCGCCACCTCCTCCTCCTGTTCCTCTGGCTCTGCGCGGCCGCGAGCACGGCCTGGGCCCATGGAGGCGGCGGAGACGACGACGGGGACTCTGGAGACGCGGACGGCGGCGGCGAGGCGAAGCCGGACCTGCGGGCGCCGGGGCTGGTGGCGACGAAGCTGTGGTGCCTGGCGCTGGTGTTCGCGGGCACGCTGGCGGGGGGCGTGTCGCCCTACTTCATGCGGTGGAACGAGGCGTTCCTGGCGCTGGGCACGCAGTTCGCCGGCGGGGTCTTCCTCGGCACCGCCATGATGCACTTCCTCAGCGACGCCAACGAGACCTTCGGCGACCTCGTCCCCTCCAGCGAGTACCCGTTCGCCTTCATGCTCGCCTGCGCCGGCTACGTGCTCACCATGCTCGCCGAGTGCGCCATCTCCTCCGTCGTCGCGCGCGGCCGCACCGCGCCCGCCGCCGCCGCCGCCGCCCCGGCAACAAGCGCAGGTGAGCGGGCCCTGCGGCTCACGTGTTCTCCGCTGAATCTATACTTTACTACAGTATATCCGTGCCGGCCGCGCGCATAGTAGAACCAGCTGGCGACCGGCGGCATACTATAAAGGAGGCAGCTGGGCGTTGGGTTAAATGCAAATTGCTTCCTGTTGTTTGTTACGAAGAAATTTGTCACTTAACTTCTGATGATCTTGATTCCATATTGGTGATGATCTTGATTCACTGTTGATTACAATTTTCCAGGAGCGTTGGAGGAGGGCAAGCTGAGCAGCACGAATGGCAACGGCTCCGAGCAACAAGCAGCTGTAAGTAGTTCAGCCTCCGGATTCAGTCTTACTTTTTTTTGCTTTGTGACAGTCAGGCTACCAAACTGCTTTCTGTACCACATATACTACTATTTCGTACACTTGCGTAACTTGGTGGCGTCGCGTAGGAGCAGGACGCGCACGGGCCGCCGGCGACGGGCCACTCGACGGCGTCGATGCTGCGCAACGCCAGCACCCTCGGCGACAGCATACTGCTCATCGCCGCGCTCTGCTTCCACTCCGTCTTCGAGGGCATCGCCATCGGAGTCGCCGGTAAGAGAGACTCATGTTATGACGACGTTGAACCGTCCAAAAAATTGACTTCCGTGACAAGTGTTGAGTAAATAGGTAATTTCTTGATTAAATTAATCCACGAGTAAATCATTAGCATGGCATTGACTAAATTGATGACGTACTGACTTTGATCTAAACATGCACGTACTAAGCAAACAATAGACAAATCTACACACACTGCTAGTACTGCTAATATGAAAATAATCAGGAGCGAGATAAACGAGTTGTACCCTCCAGCAGGCCATGCAGAGGCCGCGGCTTTGGTGGCAGCAGCGGCGTCCTCGGCGGCCTTCTTGTCGGCTTCAGCTTTCTCGGCGGCGGCACGGTCGGGGTCGGTGGAAATGGTGATGATGAAGGCGACGCGGACGTAGAGGAAGTAGACGATCGGAAGCGAGCAGTCGCGTAATCGCTGCCCAAAAACCTATTCGCCCCTCACCCCGTACAGGAACCAGAAGGGCGTGGTTTCGGAGACCTACTCTCCCGTCGACCGTGTACGCGGCGGACGGGATGGAGTCACCGGCGGCAGCAGCAGCAAAGGGACGACGGTGGGCGTGCGCGTGAGCAGATGTGATCTGTTCATGGCGGCTAGGGTTAGGGGACACCGCACACTTATATAGACGCAGCCGCGTGGAGAGACGTGGGCTTGACCCACGTCTCATTCCCGCAACCCGCGGCGCGTCGTGACGAGGCGAGGCGAGGCGGGCGTGCGCGTGAGCAGATGTGATCTGTTCGTGACAGCTAGGGTTAGGGGACACCGCACACTTATATAGACGCAGCCACGTGGAGAGACGTGGGCTTGACCCACGTCTCATTCCCGCAACCCGCGGCGCGTCGTGACGAGGCGAGGCGTGGCGAGGCGGGCGGCGGAGGAGGAGCGCGCGAGGGCCTCTTCTCTTCTCAAGCTCCAATAGCATGTAGAAGAGCCACCCTTATAAACCACTCCAACTTTCCTTCCACTAGCATGGTGGGACTAAACTTCCCACCACCTTGTCATGCCACCTACATGGGCCCTTAGAGATCAAATCTGAAATTGTCATATGGGCTCTAGGCCCATCTCACATTTCAACAATCCCCCATCAGATCTCAGGGGCCCACTTTGTCCTTTGTTGCAAACGTTGTTTTGATATACTAGTGTTTCAGTGAAGACCTGTTAAGGTTGAGCTTCACCTAGAGCAAGTAGCTACACTCCTTCACAACTGAACAATGGACTATGCCTTGAATTGTCAGTTTGGCGTAAAGAAGTTTCACCACATGTCTTACTAGTACTGGGCTGCCGAAGACTGACCCCTCGGGTGGAGCATATAAGTCACACTCCTAGCCTATTCATGAGCTTACTAGAGATCACCCCAATCTCATAGACTGTGACTAGCAGTCGGGCTCACATAGGTGTGTTCCTCCAAAGATTGCTCTGTAGGATAGCATCTTGCTTATACATATAAGTCTTGGAACACATTAAGACAGTAGTCATCCTTCCATACAGTTTTCGAGAGTATTGCATCTCCAACGGAGTGGGTTAGTAAAGTTACTCTCCTCGGTTCACCACTGGCTTGTTTCCCAGGTCCTACTTCACGGGATCTCCGATCACATAGGTTGGGTTACCACCATGGCAACTCATGTGGGTCTCATACCCATCTCCCTCGATGCACTATCTATCACGACACGTGATAGCCCTTTCGTAAAGGGATCTGCCAGATTCTTAGCCGTATGGACATAGTCCAGCGCTATCACTCCGGAGTTTCTTAATTTTCTGACAGCTTTTAATCTCATTCTTATGTGTTTGTTGGACTTCATGTTGTCCTTTGAACTCTTCACCTTGGTGATGACAGTCTGATTGTCACAGTTCATAAGGATAGCCGGAACCGGTTTATCAACCAGTGGCAAGTTCATCAAAAGATCTCGAAGCCATCCTGCTTCAACACCAGAAGTGTCTAATGCTGTTAATTCTGCTTCCATTGTCGATCTCGTTAAGATCGTTTGCTTGCAAGACTTCCAGGAAACAGCGCCACCTCCAAGAGTAAACATATACCCAGTTGTGGCCTTCATCTCATCAGCATCAGAGATCCAATTCGCATCACTATACCCTTCAAGTACCGACGGGTCTCCGGTATAGTGAAGTCCATAGTTCATAGTACCTTTCAGATAGCGCATAACTCTTTCAACAGCATGTCAATGTACATCACCCGGTTTGGAAACAAACCGGCTCAGTTTGCTCACAACAAACGCGATGTCAGGCCTCGTTGCGCTCGCTAGGTACATCAGTGAACCAATGATTTGAGAATATCTCAATTGATCTTTAGCCATGCCTTTGGACTTTCGAATCAACACGCTAGGATCATATGGTGTTTGAGATGGTGTGCAGTCCGAATATCCAAAACGACTCAACACCTTCTCAACATAATGGGATTGCAGAAGTGTGATCCCACCCTCATTATCTCTCAGTAGCTTGATGTTCAAGATAACATCAGCCACACCAAGGTCCTTCATCTCAAAGTTCTGAGACAGAAATGATTTGACCTCCTCAATGACTTTGAGGTTTGTTCCGAATATCAGTATGTCATCAACATACAAGCACAGTATAACTCCTTCGCCCCCACCATGGGATAGTATACACATTTGTCAGCCTCATTAACAACGAAACCAACAGATGTCAGAGTTGTATTGAACTTATCATGCCATTGCTTAGGTGCTTGCTTTAGGCCATATAAAGATTTCAGCAACTTACGCACCTTCCTTTCCTGACCATCTATCACAAAGCCATCTGGCTGTTGCATGTAGATTTCCTCATTTAGCTCTCCATTCAGAAAAGCCGTTTTAACATCCATTTGATGGACGAGAAGACCATGTGAGGCCGCCAACGAGAGTAATACTCGAATGGTGGTTAGTCTAGCCACAGGTGAATAAGTATCGAAGAAATCTTCCTCTTCTTTCTGGTCATAGCCCTTGGCCGCAAGCCTCGCCTCGTACTTTTCAATCGTACCATCGGGCCTAAGCTTTTTCTTGAACACCCACTTACATCCCAATGGTTTGCAACCATAGGGACGCTCAGTGATCTCCCATGTCCCGTTAGCCATGATGGAATCCATCTCGCTACGAACCGCATCCTTCCAGTAGTCAGCTTCTAGAGAGGCATACGCTTCTGAGATAGAAGTGGGAGTATCATCCACGAGGTACACGAAGAAATCATCACCAAAGGTCTTTGCAGTCCTTTGTCTCTTGCCCCTACCAAGGGTTTCCTCGTCATCCTCCTTAGGATTTTCATCATGTATTCGTTCATAATATTCCATAGGAATGGCAGGCTCAGGAGTCTCCTCAGATTCCTGTCTAGTAGTGCTTTGCATATCTCTCATAGGAAAAATATCCTCAAAGAAAGTAGCATCCTTAGACTCTATGATTGTACCGACCTTCTGGTCAGGTAACTCAGATTTCACTACTAGAAATCTATAGCCAACGCTGTTCTTAGCGTAGCCCAAATTAACGCAGTCCACAGTCTTGGGTCCAAGCTTACGCTTTTGGGGGATTTGCACGTTGACTTTCGCCAAACAGCCCCAAGTACGCAAGTACAAGAGTGTTGTCCTTCTCTTTGCCCATCTCTCATAGGGAGTGATATCATTATCCTTTATCAGAACTTTATTCAGGACATGACATGCCGTCAATATAGCCTCCCCCACCATGCCTTGGATAAACCCGACGTATCTAACATGGCGTTAACCAGATCAGTTAGAGTACGGTTTTTCCGCTCGGCAACCCCGTTTGACTGGGGTGAATAGGGAGGCGTCCTCTCATGAATAATGCCGTGTTCCGCACAGAAGGAATCAAACTCACTCGAGAAATACTCTCCACCACGATCTGAACGAAATCGTTTAATTTAATTTTCAAGTTGATTCTCAACTTCTGCCTTATAGATTTTAAAGTAGTGTAGAGCCTCATCTTTAGTATTTAACAGATACACATAGCAATATCTAGTGGAATCATCTATCAATTTCATGAAGTATTTCTTTCCACCTTTAGTCAATACACCGTTCATCTCACAAAGATCAGAATGTATGAGTTCTAATGGTGCCAAGTGTCTCTCCTCCGCAGCCTTGTGAGGCTGGCGAGGTTGCTTAGCTTGCACACATGACAGGCACTTAGAATCTTTGGCTAAAGTGAAACTCGGGATTAAATCCAACTTAGCTAGCCGCGTCATAACACCGAAACTTATGTGACAAAGACGTGAATGCCAAACCTCAGATTCATTAACACTCGAATGAACATGGTTCACGACTTTATTACAGAAATCTGCGAGGGAAAGGCGGAACATCCCTCTGCTCTCATAACATTTTCCAACAAATAGTCCATACTTAGTAGCAACTAATTTATTAGACTCGAATACCAACTTAAACCCTTCTCTACATAGAAGGGAGCCACTAACGAGGTTCTTCTTGATGGCGGGGACATGCTGCACGTTCTTCAGCTGCACGATCCTTCCCGAAGTAAACTTCAGATCGACCGTGCCAACACCATGAACAGAAGCACTCGCGCCATTCCCCATCAATACGGACCCGTGGCCTGTGACCTGGTAAGAAGAGAACAATGAAATGTCAGCACACACATGAACACCTGCACCTGTATCCACCCACCAATCGATAGGCTGAAACACTGAAAAAACAGTAAATAGATTACCGTACCCAGATGCACCATTCTCATTGTTGACCACAATCATGTTGACAGACTTGGAGTCCTGTCCTGACTTCTTAAACTTGTTTGGGCACCTGTTGGCCCAATGTTCAGTCGAACCACAAGTAAAGCATCCCTCGTCCTTCTTGTTCTTCTTGAAGGTCTTCTTACCCTTCTTCTTGAAGTCGGTATTCTGTTGGACACCGTTCTTTCCCTTGAACTTGTGGGAGTTGAGGTTTCTCTGGTTCACCATGTTGGCAACAGAAGTCCCTTCGGCCCCTTTTCCGTGCGAGTCCTTTGCCCTTGAATTCTGCTCGACACTCAGATGGCCAATGGCATCCTCCACAGAGAATTCACGCCTCTGATGTTTCAGAGTGGTGGCAAAGTTCCTCCAGGAATTGGGGAGCTTAGCGATTATGCAGCCCGCGACAAACTTGCCCGGTAACTCGCACTTCAGAAGCTCAAGCTCCTTAACAATGCATATTATCTCATGAGCCTGCTCCAGTACAGGACGGTTCTCAACCATCTTGTAGTCGTGGAACTGCTCTATAATATACATCTCGCTCCCTGCATCGGCGGCCCCGAACTTAGATTCGAGCGCCTCCCACAAGTTCTTGGCGACATGCACATGTAAATATGCGTCGACCAGTTTATCTCCGATCACGCTAAGAATTGCTAGGAGAAACACAGTGGTTGCCTCCCTGAACGCCTTCTCCTGTTCAGGAGCAATCGTTCCCGTGGACACACTGGTGACCCAGAACACGTTCATAGTCGTGAGCCATAAAGTGGTCTTTGTCTGCCAACGCTTAAAATACGTACCGGTAAACTTATCCGGTTTCAGTGTTGCGGCAAAGCCACTTGCCGAAAAATTCCTACACATAATAGGTTTTTGGATTGTTGAGTAAATAGGCAATTTCTCGATTAAATTAATCCACGAGTAAATCACTAGCATGGCATCGACTAAGTTGATGACGTACTGACTTTGATCTAAACATGCACGTACTAAGCAAACAGTAGACAAATCTACACACACTGCTAGTACTGCTAATATGAAAATAATCAGGAGCGGGATAAACGAGTTGTACCCTCCAGTAGGCCATGCAGAGGCCGCGGCTTTGGTGGCAGCAGCGGTGTCCTCGACGGCCTTCTTGTCGGCTTCAGCTTTCTCGGCGGCGGCACGGTCGGGGTCGGTGGACATGGTGATGATGAAGGCGACGCGGACGTAGAGGAAGTAGACGATCGGAAGCGAGCAGTCGCGTAATCGCTGCCCAAAAACCTATTCGCCCCTCACCCCGTACAGGAACCAGAAGGGCGTGGTTTTGGAGACGTACTCTCCCGTCGACCGTGTACGCGGCGGACGGGATGGAGTCACCGGCGGCAGCAGCAGCAAAGGGACGATGGTGGGCGTGCGCGTGAGCAGATGTGATCTGTTCATGGCGGCTAGGGTTAGGGGACACCGCACACTTATATAGACGCAGCCGCGTGGAGAGACGTGGGCTTGACCCACGTCTCATTCCCGCAACCCGCGGCGCGTCGTGACGAGGCGAGGCGAGGCGGGCGTGCGCGTGAGCAGATGTGATCTGTTCGTGGCGGCTAGGGTTAGGGGACACCGCACACTTATATAGACGCAGCCGCGTGGAGAGACGTGGGTGACGTGGGCTTGACCCACGTCTCATTCCCGCAACCCGCGACGCGTCGAGGCGAGGCGAGGCGAGGCGGAGGAGGAGCGCGCAAGGGCCTCTTCTCTTCTCAAGCTCCAATAGCATGTAGAAGAGCCACCCTTATAAACCACTCCAACTTTCCTTCCACTAGCATGGTGGGACTAAACTTCCCACCACCTTATCATGCCACCTACATGAGCCCTTAGAGATCAAATCTGAAATTGTCATATGAACTCTAGGCCCATCTCACATTTCAACAACAAGAGCATATCTGCATCTCATGCCTGCAAGTTGCAACGATCAATCAACTGTGAAACCGACATGCGCTAGTTCTTAGCCAGCTCCGTCTCAGTCCAGTCATTGTCACGCATACTTTTCCTCGTTCCAGCCTTTGAACAGATGTTCTCAACTTCTTCGCGCGTCCACTTCAATGAGCATTTCAGATTCCATTGAAATTAACCAGACAAAATATAAAGTCCTGGATAATCAATCTTGAATCTTCCTACAGTTCTGATCAACATTGGCCTTGCAGAGACCAAGGCGGACGCGTGGAAGGCGCTGTGGACGATCAGCCTGCACAAGGTGTTCGCGGCGGTGGCCATGGGCATCGCGCTGCTCCGGATGCTGCCCAACCGGCCGCTGCTCTCCTGCTTCGCCTACGCCTTCGCGTTCGCCGTCTCCAGCCCCATCGGCGTCGGCGCCGGCATCGCCATCGACGCCACCACGCAGGGCGCCGTGGCCGACTGGATCTTCGCCGTCTCCATGGGCCTCGCCACCGGCATCTTCATCTACGTCTCCGTCAACCACCTCCTCTCCAAGGGGTACACGCCCCAGAGGCCCGTCAAAGCCGACACGCCCCTCGGCCGCTGGCTCGCCGTCGTGCTCGGCGTCGGGGTCATCGCCGTCGTCATGATATGGGACACCTGATCCTGATCGTGTGGGTTGCGTTGGTCCGGTGATGGTTTGGTAATTAGGTTTGGACGTTCGTTCATAGTATTTCATAGTGGAGGGATATATACTTACTAGCTTTAATGTGTAGACTACTACTGCCTCATAGTACATGTGTTGTTTACATAATGCTCCCTATGTTAAAAAATATAAGATGTTTTAGATATTTCAATAATAACTACACACGGACTGAAATAAGTGAACACACTAAAATGCATCTATATATACATCCAAATCAAAAAAAATGTTAAAACATCTTATAATAGCAAACAAATGGGTAGTAAATTCCGATGATTCTCTTCATACCAGGTGAAAACACGCAACAAAAGTGAAATTCTCGTTTATTTACACTGGGAGCATGCCACAAGTCCAACTAAAAAAAGGACATCATAGACGCGGAGTTTCTGCTCCCGGGCTCATCTGCACCCGTGCTCAGAAAAAAATCAAAACAAATACTAGCAAAATTCATTTTTTTGGTATGGTAGATAATTTGATGCGTGAGGTCTGCTCCAAATATCACAAAAAAGACAAATTCAAGGTATGTAACTATTCACGCACTGTTCTGACCCGATTTGTCTTTTTACCGAGAGCTGCTCAGATATCCAAATGAGTTGAAATTTGAAGCAAACCTCACGCATCAAATTATCTACCACACACAAAAAAAATGTATTTGTTTTTAAATTTTTTTCTGAGCAGGAGCACATGAGCCTGGGCACCGAGTTGGATTTCCGATCATAATCCTTCCTTTAGTTCCCCCCACACAACGATCACAGCAGTCAAGCAGACTACCCACAGCACCAATACACCAGCAAACCAATGAAGAGTTCCTGGCTCTCGAGGAATTGAACACAAGATGCACAACCCCCAGACCAAACCCAAAACACCCGGGACCAACATGGCCATAACTTACAGATATTGCTGAAGTTCCCAGCGCGGAAATGGCTTCACAGCTTAATAACACTCAGTAGCTATACAGGAACAACAGATCAGGGCTAAAAACTGATCCGTGGCGCGTTTTCGGAGAACCGCTTTCAGACAGACAAAATTTGGCAGCAGCCGTTGTCGTGCTCGCTTGCTTGGCCGGTGGCTGCTTGCCCGCTCTCCTACTGCAGGATCTGAATGACGGATGTGGCGTCCTACTTCTTTGCCGATGCATTACGAAGCTTCTCGAAGATGGGGTGTCCCAGGATCTCTTTCGCAGACGGCCGCCTCATGGGATCAGGGTCCATCATCGACTGAAAGTAAGCAACAAGTGGGAGTGAGCAAGCATGTGAAATGCCTGTCATAAGGGAGGAAATCTTTCTGGGACTTGAATGCTAGAGTTCTTTAAGTTGCCAAGCAACTGCAAATTGCAGCTCTGTAGATAGGTCATAGCTGTGATGGTAAATCCCTTCACCCAAAGAATCAACTGAATTGAACAAAGCTAAAGGTGAAAGAAGTTCATTCATGTGATGCTTCTTTATATGATATGATGGTCATGAGTAACAAAGCGGCAATAGGTACCATATAGTTCGTGTTAGTTTTATAAAAAGGATGCACAAGCACCACTGGAAGCGTTAGCATTGTGCATGTGCGTAAAGAGTCGACATGCAGAGTGCCAATAAGAGGTATCAGTAGCGAGGTACTAGTGTATTATGCTAGTGCTTCATCAGTTGGAAGAAATGCACAACATGATTACACGAAAGACACTTGCTTCTGCATGTATGTTAGCAACATAGCAGCAAACTTTAAGCTTTTAGCCACATAAGTTTTAAAAAAACATTATGTTGTGTTGGATTACTTGGGCGATCATGAATATTATTGAGCATGGGGATTAGATTAAGGAAGAGTGTAGCCCTCATTTTGAATTTTGAATGTAAGGGGTTTAGCTACAAGGGGGAACTATAGTAGAATAGTATAAATTGATTTTCAATCTGGATACAGAAATGCAGGGCAAATGAAAGTAAACAGCTGGAACGGGAAAGCCACATGGTGATGATGCCATACCTTGATTAAACTCTGGAACTGCATTGGGTGTCCTGGTAGCAATGAAATTTTGCCCTCTCTGAGACTTGCAAACTGGTGTCCAGAAACAGGAAGCGGAGTGCCTCTTATAAGCTCGTAGACAGCTGCCCCAAGAGAAAAGATGTCTACCTTGTCAAGATGCTCATGCTTTTCATTCAACATTTCTGGAGGCATATAACGAGAATCTCCTTCTTCGATTGCCAAACTTCGATCAATAAGTGTAGCACAACCAAAATCTCCAAGCTTATAAATACCATTCCTGACATATATGTTATCTGGTTTCACGTCAAGGTGTGCTACACCACGCCCGTGAATGAAGTCCAAACCTTTGCAGATCTTGCATTTCACAAAATTTACTTTCAACGTTAGTAGGTGAGGTGCACATGAAAGAATGGTTATATTAATAGGTGAGGTGTACATGAACGAATAATGCATGGGTGGTTAACAGCAGATGATGAACCCAAGAGTACTTACATAATTTTGAGAAACTTGTTAGAACAACTATTACAATGGTATACTAGTCACGTTATGACATTGAATCCATTTTGCTTCAAATACTGACCATTGACCAACAAAAAACAAAATGGATTAGTAAACCAACCTGATACAACAGTTCCAGGGCATCCCCAAACTCCAACGGCTTGTCCCCATTCACAGATAAGGAGCGGTCACATAGTTCCATCTGGATAAAAAGTTTTTCGGTCTCGAACCAAGAGGTGAAATATCCAACTATGTTCTCATGGTTACCTAAGGCCACCAAAGTATGAACTTCCTTCAATGCTTGCCTCCTGTAAATAAATATACAACAAAGGGGATTAGTTAATCGTGGTCTAACTACTGAAGCAAGAGGGCTTCCATGAAACTACCTGTCCATGTCATTATGCAGCTGCTTGATGCTCCGTTTTACTGCGTACAAGCAGCCCTCTATCCTCCTCAGAACTTTAAACACGACACTGAAGTTTCCACATCCAATTTGCTGAAAACGAACAATTGTCATGACCCAAACCTCCACAAAATGTAAAACTAAAGCCTGAACATGAACACATAAGAAATATCAAACACATAAGAAATATCTAATGAGAGCATACCTCAATTTCATGGAAATCGGTACGGTAACGTGAAAGACCGTCAGCGCCAATAGAGGGAGAAGACCCTAAATACAGATATTTTGTCTGTTAACTCTTTTTTTTGTGAGAAAGATGCTGCTATGAATGTTTCTTATTGAGATCGAAAATCACACGCAATGATTACATGTTATTAACCTTAAAAACATGTACACATAATTCGAAGGGATGTGAAATGAACATGTTTCAATAACACCAAGCACATAAATGTTACCTGATGATTTGCATTTCCTCACGCAGAAAACATTATCATCTATTCGAGGGTCCATATTATATGGGTTCTTGATGCACGGTGGAGGCGTCACCTGGGAGCGCAGAACTCTTGCTGAATGTGGGACATAGCTACCTCTCTTTTGCGAACTAGGTTGTGCCATCTTTTCTTCCTCTGGATCATCTTGACTTAGAGAAAATCGGACCGGAGTAATCTCCTGGCTATCCACCTCCAAAAGGTCCGTGGGTCGGCCTTTGGGGGAAGAATCTGTAAGCAATGGCGTTTCTTTATTAATACAATAACATCGAGCCAGAGCAAGCATATCAAACTCTGAAATTTAGGCAACTGGATCTTGAGGCAAGACCATAATGATGATATCAGATCAATAAAGAATTAGTTTGAGCATTTGCAGTCTCACCTCTCTTGTACCTCTTGCTCCGGGCGACTGACTTCTCTGGAGATTGGGGGCAAGGGGTGTTCTCCTGCAGATAACCCAAACAGATCAGATAAGCAATGTAATCCCACACAAGAAAATATGTGGTTTTTCTCACCTTATCGGCGTCGAAGCTGCTCGCCATCTGCGGCGCATCGGGCGTGAGGTAATCCGGGGTACTGCAAAACAGCGAGCGGCAAGAGGGATAGGGTTAGCCCGAGATGCGCGCGCACACTGGACACAGACTGCAGCTCGGATCGAATCGGAGATCTACCAGAAGAAATCCTGGCTGAGGATGCAGGCGTCCCTGTCCTCCATGGGCACGTCCGCGTCCATGGGCGCGACCTGCTGCGGCGGAGAGGGGGCCGGAGCCGGAGCCGGGGCCGGGGCTGGGCGGGAGTCCTCGAGGAGCTCTCCAAAGGGCTTGGGCGAGGCGAAGGGGCGGTCGGCGAAGAGGGGGAAGAGGGTGACGTGCTCGAGCTTCTGCGAGAGCTCCCCCGACGGCGAGCTGCCGGCCGCCGCCGCCATCTGCGCCTGCGCCTTGGTCGCGGGGGGCGTGAAGCGGCGGCGGGACTTGCTCCCGCCGCGCGGGTCCGGGGTCTTGGTCCTCAGCATCGCCGCCGTCCGCTCGCGAGGCCTCCCTCCCTTCCCGGCGCGGCGGCGGAATGCCGGATTCGAGTCCGCGGCGGGGCTGGGGTTTGGCTGTGGGGGTGGGGAGAGACGCGGGGCGTGGAAGGGAGGAAAGAAATGATTTTTAGATCGAGAAATCTGAAATTGGAGGGAGCTCTGGCTGACTGTGGCGGGAGAGATAATAAATAAGAAAAACGTTTCGGTGGGAAATGGGACGTCGTTTTGTTCGTGGCCGTTTCTATCCAGATCGGGATGTTGGGCTAGCCCGGTGGGGATGTGTTGCCGTCCCTCTTTTTTTTGGTTAGGCTGTTGGGCTGGGCGTGTCTACTTTGTTGCCCTAGGCCCAGATTGGTAATGGCATTTTGGTAGGTATTTACACTCATCATGCTGGCAAGGCAGGTGTGGAGGTTGCTGCAGAACGCAAACACACTTTGTGCCCGTGTACTCAAAAGCATCTATTATCCGACCACAGATATTTTGGAAGCTGGGCTAGGGGGCCGACCTAGCCAGATATGGTGAGCAGTTCTGGAAGGGAGGGATGTTCTCAAGCAGGGGCTAATCAAACACATTGGTAATG